CCCTGCTTAGTGGCTTTCAGTGGCTCCAGCCCCATGCAGATCACTTCCCAGCCAGCTTTCCCTGCCATTTGTGTTTCTCCACCACCTCTCAGGAGCTTGGGACATTATGGCCTGACATACTACTTTAGCTGACTGTTTAGTAAGAACCTTAGCATTTTGCAAACTTGGATGCAAAATAGCATGTGGGCTCTGTGCATTGATCTAGATTTAGATCAGGTATTAGAAAAAATTATTTACTGAAAAAGTAGTCAAGCATTGGAACAGGCTGCCCAGGGAAGTGGCGGAGTCATCATCCCTGGAAGTATCTAAGAGACGTGTAGACATGTGTTACTTAGGGACATGATTTAGTGGTGGACTTGTCAGTGTTAGGTTTATGGTGGGACTTGATGATGTTACAGATCCTTTCCAACTAAAATGATTCTATGATTCTAGAGTCATCTGCAAAAAGGCCCTATAAAAAATCAATTCCCAAAGAGGAAGCAACTTTTACAGATAAAATTCTTAATTTCAAACACCACATTAAGGGCATGTAGGAAGAGAAGACAGGGCTTTGAATAGCTTTGTTTAACCAAACCACAGATTTGAATGAGTTTCTGTCTGTCTCCCTTTATTGTAATACAATCATATATATATCTTTATTCTTTTCTGATCTTTGATTTTTATATTGCTTTTCTTTTGAGCTCTGTCAACTGGACTTCAAGTGAAATGTACCTGTAGTGTCTCTTAAGTGGTGATCCTGAAACTTAGGAGCTGTAAAGATAACTCTTTCTACTTTTTCGCTGGGTTACCTATTAAATCTACTCTTAAATCCAGCAAAAGATGTAAATACAGTAAACCGTGGTATGATTTGGTCAAAAGAGTATACATGTATTTTTAGAACTGGCTCCAAAGATGCTCTGTTTAAACTATAGATGAGATATCATTAGATCTCCCATATCTAACAGATATAAGATGCATCTTATAACTCTGTTCACTAGCATGCTTGGAAGTCTTCCAAAATCTTTCTGAGGGGAAAGTAATCTTAATTCAGAGCAAATCTTTTCTCCTATGTTGATACTTTCTCTTGCATGTTTTCCATGGGTATGGAATGAAATAGGGGTGATTCTTGTATCATGGTACTCTGTTTTTATAGGGACTGTGCATTTTGCCGTTTTTGGAATGAGTTTAAATTTTGACCTTTTTCCTTATGTATAGGAAATCTCTTTCCTCATCTGTAAATGTTGCTTTTGAATAGCTAAAGAGGAGGTGTTTGGAAAAGGTGATGTTTCTTTAAAATGTATTACTTATCATGGTGACATGGTATAAATACCTTCAAGTGATTCAGCATGTGGTATATATGGATGTCATCTCTTTATCTTTGTGTGCCAATTTTTTTCTGACGTAAGTATGCAGTGCTCTACAGGAAAAGAGCATTCTGATGGGGTTTTTTAATTTTAGATCTTTTCTTGCAGTTCACTTCTGCATCTCTTGTAGTGCTCTAAGCACTTCGGCAGGTTGATAGGAGGAAGTTTCTTTAGTCTTTCTCCAGTTTCACTTTTGAACTCTGCTTTGTTTTATCCTCTTTTAAAAGTTCTTTTTAGCTACAGTCCTGGCAGTGGCAAAGATAATACCTTGTACTGTGTGCTGCAGTTGTCTACATCCATTTTTCTCATGGCTACTTTGTTCTGTCTCAACACTTTAATGTTAAAATGTGGAACCTTTAACTATTTGGCAATTCTTTGTCTTGGTCATCTTAGAGTCAGTTTTTTATCTCAGAGGGCTGAAATGTTTTGTCAGGCTTTTAAAAAGGGTCTACTAGAAATTCCAGTTGACGCTCTTTAAAAAAAGCATGCAAAGTGATTGAATAATGTTACTGTGTTTGTGACCTGAGAAAGCTGTGGTGTCATTAATGGAAGACTTTTAACCCTCTACAGCCTATTTGGCAATTCTTTGTCTTGGTCATCTTATTTTCCTGAACAAGATGTGATGAGAGTCAGTTTTTTACCTATTTGGCAATTCTTTGTCTTGGTCATCTTAGAGTCAGTTTTTTATCTCAGAGGGCTGAAATGTTTTGTCAGGCTTTTAAAAAGGGTCTACTAGAAATTCCAGTTGACGCTCTTTAAAAAAAGCATGCAAAGTGATTGAATAATGTTACTGTGTTTGTGACCTGAGAAAGCTGTGGTGTCATTAATGGAAGACTTTTAACCCTCTACAGCCTGTGCAACCAGTAATACACTCACAGGCTTATGAGAGGTGTGAGGCACCAGTCTCTGCATTTGAGATATTGTATTCCTCTGCTGTTTCTGCTTCCCTGTGATGAGTGTTGTAGAAGACTGAAACAGGAACCAATCTCACAAGGTAGTTGAAGAGAGAACTAAACAGCTGAAGCCTCTGTGGAGAAGACGGGCTCTTCAACTAGCTTCCAGATGAGCCACTTACACATGTAGCTTCATACTGAGACCGGGTAACACCTACTGTCAAAAAAAAAAGGCCCAAAACAACTCCCAAACCCTGCCAAACCCCCAGAAAATGCATTAGGACCAGATCTGTGCTCTACACAGGACACTTTTAGTGTCAGAATACTTCCTTGTAGTCGTAGATTGGTCAGGACTAGATGAGTGCCTGCCTACATGGCTGACTGAGGCAAGTTTCTTGTCCATCTTCAGTAGCAGAAAATGTGAGAGTTGTTCCCATTTACCAGGCCAAGTTTGAGAAACAAGGAGGAATCTCTTGTTGATCCTTGTTCATTGAGTAGAGTTCACAGGAGCCTGAAAGACTGGTCTACTACAGTAGTGCTTTATGTTCCAGGAATCAGACTTGAGGCTATGCAGCAGTGCATCTTTGACTTTGTATCACTGTAAGAAGTCACAAATAGGAATTTTGGAACATGTGGCACTGTGTTTTTATAAATGTGTGTCAAACTTGTGTCTCCATTGCCTTCAAGGTTGGGTTAAGTTTGCTCCAGTAATTAAACATAAAGGTATGTTTAAGTTATGCTTTCAAAGATCTTTTTTACACCATCTCAGCATTTGCTACATCTAGTACATCCAGTCATGGTCGTGGAACACATCTGTACCTTTGTCCTACACAGTGCTTGCGGATGGATGGACAGGGTGTACGGTCTCGACTTCCATGTCAGCATCTGACCAGTGCATCTCATTTGAAAACTCTCTTCATATTTTACTGGTTGATAAGGTCATTACTTAGTATCTTCCATACAATGGAATTCCCTAACTTCAATTTGCTTCCCCCAGGGTAGGAGAATTTAAAATATACTGCTTTCCTTCAGAAGTTGCCTTAGGCAGGAATTTTGATATTATTTTCCCCTTCCCCTCTGTTCCAATTTAGGTGGGGACTGTCTCTTCATATAGGAATAAAAGTTGAAATTTCTAGCAGTTAAAATTAATCTCTGACAGGTTTATGGAGCTTGAGTACTTTATCTGATGGAACTGTCTTGGAATGGTGGATGTCTTGTTCAGGACAACATCTTTTGTTACAAATATTTTTTGTGATTGTTCGTTCTGTAATAAAAATGAGATTCTTTGCTTAAGGTTTCATGTTGGTGTTTCAAAGAGATAGTTTTGATTTTTCTTATCTACTCTGTACATGTCTGTTCTTTCTAAAGTTACTTCGTAATAGAATGGACTGTGCATGCTTCAGGTAAAATTGTAGCATTTTTCTTTTTAGTAATGAAAGACTTAAATCTGTTTTTTAAATTATTTTGGTTTTTAGACATCCTTGATGTTTAATTGCAGCTTTTCCAAGGAATGTGAAGAGGAAGCTTCTCTCTTCTCAGATTAGGTGAATTAGATGTATCCTATGAGATCATATGAGAATGTGTTGTTTCATGCCAGTTCATTTTAGAGCAATGAAAGTCTTGGAAACTTGGGCAGAATTAACAATTTTTAGGGTGGTTTTTTGTTTGTTGGTGGGTTTTTGTTCATTTTTTCTTTGTTGTTTTGTGCTTGGTTTTTTATTTTATTTTTTAATTTGGAGATCTGTTTGTCCACAATACACACATTCATGTGTTGTATGGTAGACAGTTGGAACAAATGCTATATTGAGAAAGACAGTATTTTATTTAATTCTTATTGAGGAAATGATGGTGTCTTAGGTTCCACACAATCCTGCCAGGTTTTCTGTGTATCTCAAAGTGGTTTGCTTACTCTGTAGTAATTTGTGATCCTGAACACATTGTCCATGTGCATCCCATGTCCTCTCTGTTTTCCCCTTTTGGTGTTGGCTGTGCTTGGTGAAGGAACTGAGGGGTATTTCACCCATTAGTCTCTGGCAAGATTAGAGGAGGAGCTGGTAAGTGCTTACATGGTTTGAAAGAGAATTGTTAATCAGTAAGTTCTCATAGTTCCTAGGGAAGGATGCGTGTTCACTCTAGTGGTGTGCCTATAGATAATACCGCTCGACAGAGCTTTGGCTGCTGTAACGCCGTGACTTGTCTAACTTCATTGGGTCTGTGATCAAGACATGCAGCGAAGAGCTTTGCATGCGTATGTGTTGCATTATTTCAGGTATCTTTGTAGATATAGATATAGATATATATATTTAGGTCTGCAAAGAAACCTTGATGTTGTGAGGAATTCTGCAAAACATGTTTAGATCTGAATAATGTTAGGGAAACGCTGCATTTTGAAAACGTGCAAAGCCTTTTCAACCAAACTTGCCCGTTACGATTTGACACTTAGTTCTCTTTGCATGTCAGATGTAGTTTCTATTTACCATCAGAAATAAGCTTACAGGAAATATACAGTATAATATGCATATTATAATAGATATATAAATTCTTTCATATTTAGGTATAATGTATGCTTTTATCTGAAAATGGCCTTTTCTCTCTTCTTTTATTTTTTTCCCAGGGTTTGGAGTACTGTGACGAAAGGTACAGTTTAGATCTCACGGGTGGAGTCTTTCCCTTGAGAGGGCAGACCAGCAATACGAAATTACTCAGCTGTCAGACTGTAGAAAAATTTCGCAACCACGTTGACAGAGAAGATAGTCTTAATGAAGGTTTGTTCTGGTGTCTGCGTTTGGTTGTTATAAATGGTTTTGGAATCGAAGCAGTGAATGCTGTGCTGTACCCACAGTCTGAAAGTGTTAAATATCTGTCTAGACCAGCTTGTTGAACTTATTTAAAAAGAAAAATTGTGTGCTTAAGTTATGTGGGTCTTCTTTAAGGGAAAAGAAATAGATTTTATTTTATGCTTTCTGAGATGCTATAGCCATGTATGGTGGGGTCATCTGTATAATGCTGGTCAGTCATTTTATTCCTCCAGCTGTCTTCTTTGAACAATGGGGTCCTTCTCTGCATTGGTTTGGAGTGTTACCTGCCTTTTTTCCTGTTCAAACCTATGTGTGCTTCTGCATCCAGTGGGTGGCCAGTCACATGTGGTGTTTGTCAGGGCTCATTATTGAGGCCAGTTCTGTTTAATATCTTTATCAGTGATCTGGACAAGGGGATCGAGTGCACCCTCAGTAACTTTGCAGACAACACCAAATTGGGCAGAAGTGTTGATCTGCTTGAGTGTAGGAAGGCTCTGCAGATGGATCTGGTCAGGCTGGATTGATGGCCAAGGCCAATTTTATGAGGCTGGACAAACCTAACTGCTGGGTTCTGTACCTGGGTCACAACAACCCCATGCAACGCTACAGACTTGGGGAAAAGTGGCTGGAAAGTTGCCATGTGGAAGAGGACCTGGTGGTCTTGGTCAGCAGCCAGCTGACTATCAGCCAGCAGTGTGCCCAGGTGGCCAAGAAGACCAACAGCATCCTGGCCTGTATCAGAAACAGTGTGGCCAGCAGGACCAGGGAAGTGATTGTCCCCCTGTACTGGGCACTGGTGAGGCTGCACCTCGAGTACTGTGTTCAGTTTTGGGCCCCTCACTACAAGAAGGACATTGAGTTGCTGTAGCGTGTGCAAAGAAGGGCAACAAAGCTGGTGAAGGGCCTGGAGAACAAGTCCTACAAGGAGCAGCTGAGGGAACTGGGGTTTAGCCTGGAGAAAAGGAGTTTGAGGGGAGACCTTACTGCTCTCTACAACTACCTGAAAGGAGGGTGTAGTGAGGTGGGTGTTGGTCTCTTCTCCCAAGTAACAAGCAATAGGATGAGAGGGAACGGCCTCAAGTTGTGGCAGGATAGGGTTAGATTGGATATTAGGAAGAATTTATTTACTGAATGAGTGGTCAAGCACTGGAACAGGCTTCCCAGGGAAGTGGTGGAGTCACCATCCCTGCAAGTATCTAAGAGATGTGTAGACATGTGTTACTTAGGGACATGATTTAGTGGTGGACTTGTCAGCGTTAGGTTTATGGTTAGACTTAATGATCTTAAGGGTCTTTTCCAACCTAAATGATTCTATGATCTGCCTGTCCATTTTTTCCTCTCTAAATCTAATGGCTTCCTACACCTACAGGTCCTTAAAGCAATACCTTTCCTTGTCCATGTAGGAAGTTAAACCTCTTATAGTGTGTCTCATTATCTTGCAATAATTGTTTTAAAGACATTTACTTCTGAAATGGCACAGAAGTTCGCAGTCAAACATAGGAAAGTGTGTGAGGATCCCTAAATAGCAGTGACTAATTCAACAGAATCATTTGCCAAACAAACTTTCTTCCTCTTCCTTAGTCTGTTAGGGTAAATGATGTATCCCATACTTTGCTTACATCTAGAGAAGACATTCTCCCCACAGAAGACAGACCATTCCACTTACTGAGAGAACTGGAGTATAACATTGTGAATGTTTTATGTCAAAATCTTTATTCCAATTTCCTGGTTGTTGGGTTTTGTTTTGTTTTGTTGTGGTTTTTTGGGGGTTTTTTTCTGGTAAAAAAAAATTTTATGGTATTTTGTATGGTAATTGTGTTGTTTTGTTCTGAATGTGCTGGAAAGGAGCTGTTCTTCAAACTTGTAATTGAGCGAAATGTGGGAATGCATAATGCCAGCTGAGTGATACAAGTGTATACAATAATTATTTGTATGCTTTCTAAAAGTAGCCGTGCACATATGTGTTCCTAGCATATTTCTTTTGCTAAACTATTCACCTAGCTAAATGTCTCCATCAGTACTTAATGTATGGAAAACTTAGTTGGCTAATAATTGTGTATTTCATTTGGCTTGGGACTGATACAATTGGAACAAATAAAAGGGGCAGTATGAGTGAAGCCTATCACAGAAATATTTGCTGTTCTGTAAATTTTTTAAATTATTCTTAGTAAATGTTGCATTTCATGAGTGATACAACAGAATTAAGCCAAAATAGAATGTGGTGTTTTAAAGAATATTAGATATGTAATTTTTTTTTTTTTTCAATAAGAAACAATGTCTTGTCTTTTACAGTAATATCTCCTGACACCAGTGTATCAATCTTCAGTTGGCAAGTGAATACATATGGTCAGGGAAAACCATCTACTTATTTGGGTGTATTTGACATTAATCGCTGGTATCATGCTCAAATGCCAGATTCACTAAGGTAGATTTTTATTAAGTTGTTTTCAGTATCCCTAAAAGAATTAATTTAAATGTCAGCATTTAGCTTATGCGCTTGTTTTCTTTAAGGCCAGAAGAATTCCTTCCTGATTGCCCCTATTTTGCATTATGGTCTCTCGATACTGTAATAAGCATGACTTCTCCAAACCTCATTTTGGATATTCTGGTACATGAGCGGAGTCTCAGTCGGGGAGTTCCTCCTTCTTATCCACCACCTGAGCAGTTTTTTAATCCAAGCACCTATAATTTTGGTAGGTATTTCACCGCTTTTAATAGCGATAAAGCTTAAACTGAGGTCAAATGCCACTTACTCTGAGGTCTCCTGTTCGTTGTTTGTCACTCAGAACCCAAACCAAACAAAAAAAACCCCAAGTCCCCACAACCCCAATTGTGTTGATTGTGTTGTACTAATGAGGTATTGAATATTGTGAAACATATCTGACAGTCTGTGGAGGTTTAGATTTTGGTGCTTTTGTAATGTGACCTGTGAAGTGGTGATGGTTATAGAATGACATTGCTTTGAACTGAAACTTAAAGCACAGCACCTTGATAGCACTAGAGAAAAGTTTCTACACACAGTAATTAAAAAAAAAAAAAAAGTTTGTAAGTGATCTGATGAAGAAAATGGGTACTCAGTTGTATCTTTCCAGATACTGCTATTTAAAAAATGTAAACTGGTTGTAACATAGGTGCAAGCGTTGTCAAACGTTCCTTGTTCCTGCAGATGCTACGTGCTTGCTGAACTCTGGAGTGGTTCATATGACTTGCACCGGCTTCCAGAAGGAGGTGATCTTTTACTCTATCTTTACTGGGAAAGTCAAGAGATAGACCTTTTCTGAGTTTTCTATTGCACTGCTTTCAGTGTCAGAGACCATTTTATGCTCATCCTGCCCACCCACGTGCATAATTGCAATTGTATCCTGCTGCTGTTTTGCAAGTAGTAATGTTTTAAGTCCACTCTTGGGTCTGCCATTGTCTCCTGTTGAAGCACGATCAGGGATTGAATGTCTAGAAAGGAATATGATGTTGATCTAGGAGCAAGTACGAAAATGCTGTGGAAGTTGGGGAAAACTTACTTCTTGTATTACTCATCAGTCAAACTGCCTGTATAGTCTGGAGTTAGGGTTTTGATCCCTGATTAACTTGAAAAAGGAGGACAGAATGGAGAAAATGAAAAATTATTTAACTGTTTGAGAATAAATGAAATGTTTTTTCCTCCCAAACTTGGCCAGATTATCACTTCTGAGCCACTGCATAGATTGTGACAAATAATTTTGAATTAAGTTTCCAACATCAATCAGCTTCTGCACAAACAAGCATAGAAAAGATTGTCCAGAGTGTGATTCAGAGTGTCAGTATTAGCTTATATAGAATATATTTTGTGTCGGTGTTCAGGTAAAAAGTAAGGCCTGTGTGTTGACAGAGAAGATAGAAAAAACTTAATTAAGCATTGCAAGGGCTGATATTTTGTTTTACGGGATTTTTAAAAAATAAACTTTAACTGTTAGTTTGGCTGCTGTCTTTAAGGTGCTACATAGTAGTGCTTACTCAGAATGCTAACCTAAAGCATATTACTGAGGCAAGCTTGCTGTAAGTTTAAGAGAGCATTTCTGTTCTTTTCTTAGTGATTGTCCAGAACCTCAGTGATTGAATAATAGTGCTGTCTTCATCTGTAGTTTTTGATTGGTATTACAGACCTTGAATTTTTTGAAGAAATCTGGTCCTTCAATACATGAAGCCATTCACGATAGCTACAACAGGTGTCTTGTAGCTGGCTTGCTGTCTCCCAGACTAGTTGATGTCCAGCCATCGAGTTTGAGTCAGGTGAGTGCATACCAGGGAATCAAGGGGGAAGTACATCCATCTTGACTGACAGGGCTGTAGGGGCTACAAGACACGATAATCTGATTTTCATACTATTTGCAAGTTGCCTTACAATGCAGGTGTTGGCTTTAGTTGGCAGAAATAATAGCATTCCTTGGTCCAAGCTCCTGAGTTTGACTGGGAACAGCCCTAATAGATCTGTCCTTAGAGACCCATCTGTTAATTCTGTGCCACAGATACGCACAAGGAAGCATGCAGTCAGTGCTGGTCATGCGCCACATCAACCATCTTTCCCTCAGAACAATGTTCATCCCCGTCACTTTCTCAAAGCATGAGCTTCAGTGCAGTAGCTGACGATGGGGGTGTCTCACTCGCGTACGAGCTATTGCAGATGTCAGCTTGCTGCCCTATGCATAATCATTTGCTTCCAAGAAAGTGGGTAAACAAGTGTGGTAAACAAGTACTGTTGTCAGCTCTACCTGACAATTTCATCCCCTCTTCCCCTCGTTTTCTCTTCATCAGTAGGCTTTTCTGCAGTCGCTCCAAGCAGATCTTCACCTCTGTAGCCTTTACCTTGTGCTACAGTAGCCAAATTTACCCCTCTTAGACTGCCCTCATGTTGCTGCAACACCCGGATCACCGTTATCTGATGACACCCACTAATTTCTATCTGCTTTATCCCACCATAGTGACTTCAGCCCCTTCTGTCCTAGGTTTTCAGTTTGCAATGCATCAAACTTTCTCTCTCATATGGAGTTTAATGCGAGATGGAGCTTTTGTGATGAACAGCCCATCTTCTCCTGGGCAGGATCTAAGCTAAATAATGAGCTAGCTAGTCATCCTATAGTGGACCAGTTAGTAGGAAGGGGAGAGCAGCCTTCCTGCTGCCCTCATCTTCCTGTCTGCTGGATTCTTCACCAGATTTGTTGGTGTGTGTTAGGGCACACAGCTGAAATAAGTTACTACTTCGTATCACCTCTGTGCATACCTGTGCATTATCCTTTTAAAGGCATACCACTACATTATAATACAGTATTTCAACAGCCCCAAATTTAAACCTATTAGAATTTAAATGTGTCACTTCTTTTCTGTCATTTTGGAAAATTTAAACAATATTTTGAGTGCCAGAACTGCTTCACATCTTCATAGTCTAGGCAGCTGCTTGAGCTTCACTGTTTCCACGCAAACATTGCATAATTGTATTTGTTCTGTCCACTTTATGCATTCCTGATGCCAAACTTCTATGTAATGGGTATTAGCAAATAATATTACTGAAGATAGTTAGTTGGAACTCAGTAAATTAAGACTATAATGCAGAGGCATGCAAATAAAGACTAGAGTGAGCCTTCAGTAAGTTGAGGTGTCAGAGGACAAGTTACTGTGTTCCTCAGACCAACAAGCAGTCTAGCCTGTGGCTAAAATTAAGAAAAAGAATGTGGAATTAGTTGCATGAGTGCTAATTGGCTTGGTGGTGTCTGAATGGGTATACAGTTAGAAAGGAACACTGTTCATGGTTCAGATATTGAATGTACATAAGATTGTAATTTTATTTTGTCTGTTATGTTTAGGAGGAGCAGTTGGAAGCAGTATTGTCAGCTGCAGTCCAGACAGGTTCTTTAGAACTTCTGACTGGATGCATTAAACATTGGACATCTTATGGTAATACTTCTTATGTTGTTTTTCTTTTATATATTCTTTAGTTTGAAATTGTTGATTAATTTCTTTTTTGTTTTCTTTTTTTAAAGAGCAGCCAAGTTCTGCTGCTAATTTACGGTTTGTTCTTGAGTGGACATGGAACAAAGTGATCTGTACAAAAGATGAATTTGACCAAATATGTGAGTACTAGTGTAGTCATTCTGCAACCATAAAATCATTCTTTCTAATTGAGTTTATTCAGTAATCTGCTGGTATATGATATTGCACGTGGTTCTGTAAGTGTACTTGGAAACTCTGCAATTGCTCTGCAGGCTAATGATTTAATATTTATTTTTGAAAAGGTGTTCCACTGTTTGATGGCTCTTGCAACTTCATTGACCCACAGACATTACAGTCTCTTCAGCACTGCCAGTTGCTTTTGAGCAACCTTAGCACAGTCTTAAACTGTTTTCTCAGAGAAGCACAAGAGCTTACTGAAAAAGGTTTGTAGTAGTATTACTAAATCTTTGGTAAGTTTTATTAAGATTTGGAATTGTGTTTGGATTGTAATTGTGGAAACCTGAGCTTTTGTTGTTTTTGATGATTGGAAGACAGTGAAATTTAGCTGGGAGAAGGAACTTAAATCTGAGAAGTTGTGACTACCACTTAATGTGCATTGAGTTCAGGGAAATAGTTTGTTGTGGAGTTCATGCAGGTGGGTAGGGGAGGCAGCATATGGCTTGAAGCTCTGTAGGCAACTGTCTTGAAGTTACAGCAACTGAGTGTGGTAATGCTGAAAATGATTCTTTTTAATTCTTAGCTAGCAATTTATAATTGCATGCAAATATTGTGTTGCAAATTGCTAAAAAATAGAAAAGAAGCATAAATGAGTAACTTGTAAGTTACTTGAGTTTCTGTAGCTTTTTATGTTCTCAGTTGGCATAATCAGGGAAAAAAAAAGAATATCCCTTTGCTATAGTAAAAATCTGTGCTAGGTGAAAAACAAAGGTTATTCATGAGTGTATTTCATTTCAGGCTTCTCTTTTTCTTTGATTTTAACCTTTGGTGAATCTGGTTCTTTGTAGGGGTTGCTTTTTGTTTTGTTGGTGGTTGTGGGTTTTTTCTTCCAGTAAGAAAGTGACACAGAGTGAAAAATGTAAAGACAAAGATTTCTACCATGTTATTTTTATACTTTCTATTCAGTCTGATGAAGGGAGTTTTTTAAAAAGGAAAGGAACCACATAACAAAAATGATCTTATACCTTTTTTCAGGTTTTGCAGACTTGACAAATAAGCAGGTGGTAACTAGCCTCATTTCTTTGTATGCACAAGTGGTCATCTGGTTCTGTCGCTCCAGTCTACTTCCAGAGGGTTTAGGTAAGCATGAACTCTCGTATGTTTGTAACAAGGAGGCTATCCAGTAAGTGATTCCTGTGAACGCATTCTTAGCCATTCTTAGGTTTTCTAAATGTTTAATCACTAA